TCCTCCTCCTCCTCCTCCTCATCATCATCATCTTCCAAGTCTGCAATTTCCGTCCTCTCTCTTGCCTTCTCACGTTCCTCCATCGCCGCTTTCTCCCGGTCACGTTCTCCATTCCCATGCTGACCACCTGGCTGGCCAATGGCAGCAGTCGAGCTGTAGATCGACGGGTAGCTCTGAGAATAGAGCCTCATGTTGGGACTGACAGTCCCGACTCCATCTCCAGTCAAGCTCTTTGGAAAGAGGACACAGTAAATCATAAGGTGTTGTGATCAAAAATGCATAAAAAAACAGCACTCACCAGCCTGTCAGACGGCACATCCACACCCAGTTTGGCTCCTCCTACCTCCATATTCAGACGCGTGTGTCTCTGAGCCGTCAGTACAGTGGTGGAGTGCAGAACTGCGATGTCATCCATGTATCGTTGTGACGACTCCGCTAGGGCCCCTGGTCCCCAAACATGATAAGCATAATCAAACTTCCACACCCGAGTTCCACCCCCTTCATGATTCCTTGTTCCTTCCACCTCAACCCCGGGAGGACGGAACTTCTTATACGCGGTCAAAATTGCCAAATCACAACCAGACGTCTGACTGTAAGCCTCAGCAGCAGCAAGCAGCGCCAGCCAGCTCTCCTTGTGATTATCGGGGATCTCGGGGTTAGAGGATTTGGTGACAGAGGCCATGATGTGTTTACGCAACAACCTATGGCTCTGTTGAACGGTTTTCGGAATCCGTTCTTTTGGAATGTTGGAATGCTGGTGTGTGTGAATGTGTATGTCTGTGTATATATGAAATGCGTTTTGTGGTTAGCACTCTTTGGTAGTGAGAACTTGGTTTAGTTAAAGCTGATGGGACTGTTAGAAGAGGCACATTTGAAATGAGTGATGGTGTCTGCGTGCTGGAGAGAACTAGGGGAGAGATGGGAGGATGCCACCACTTGCTGTTGTTACCTAGAAAAGAAAAGAGATGCATAAATATAGATAATCAAAAGTGCAATATCAATCTCATTTAAGCAAATAAACCTGCATTTTATTAGGCACTGTAGAACAGCTTGAAAACCAGTTTGTTTGACTAATCAACAAGCTCATCAACTGCTGTGCAACAAACCCCCACTCACTTTGAAGGGTCAGTTCCTCCTCCATTCCTTCGCACGTGTAGCACACGTACACGTTTGCTTGGGACGCTCTCGTTTAAATGAGGACCATTTCTTTATAAAACGCTAAAAAAAA